TGTTCTCCTTCCTACCAAACTTTATTTTTATTGTAAATGTCCAACTTTATTTGAGATTCACTATTCCCTATATCTATATCTTTATCATCTATCCATCCTGAAGTATATATTTTCATAACAATGTGTATGGGGTAAACTTATGAATATCATGTGATATTTTTCCATAGAGATGAAACTCTCCAAAAACCTACTTATCTATTTTGAAAATATCTCAAATACTTATGCAAGAAAGTAATATGAATATTTAGATACTTAACCCATGACAACTAATCAAAGCTGGTTTCAGCTTAGCTAATACATTTTCAATATTATAATTAAAAGTAAAAAAAAAAATTAAAAGTAAGTTTTGATATGTGGTGTTTCTAGAGCTGATGTCATTTATTATTACATCTTTCCGTTAACATTGAATGTGTTTACAAAGCAGTGATGCCATTCCATGGAGTTAAGTTGTTGCCCCTGTTAACCCTTATCTAAGTGAACTCTGTCCCATGAAAAAAGGACTTTCTTTCTTACTGTAAGAAAAATTGCTACTAAAATAAGCCAGGTGGGTTGAAGATAATGAAAAATTTTAGAATATTCAAAGTAGAAATGTTTTGAAAATATGGTTATAAATTAGCCAAATCAGAATTTGAATCTGGCTCTAATTCTAGGTTTGTATGTTACCTTTTGGGCAAATTATTAACCACTTTGAGATTCTCTTACCTATAATACTGGATTAACTGCCTACGTCATAGTTACTTCTAAGCATGAAAATAGCTGAGGTTTATAAAGTATTATATCAACTCAACTCTGTCTCACTCCCTGCTGTTGTGCCAGTTCTGACTCAGCTGACCCACTACCGAGTTTTTAAAGGGCATAGATACAAATGGAGGGAGATTGCCCATCTTTCTCATGTGGAGCTAGTGGTGGATTCTAACCACCCGAGATGCACAACCTTTGAGTAAGCAGTGTAACTCTCTATAGATCGCTCAGCTAGAGCTCCCTAATTAATTGTAGAGATTTCTTATAAATACTGAGGTCTTTAGTGTGTGTGAAAATATGCACAACAGAAGTTTCCCGTCCAATAGTTCCTACATAAAATGTTCAGAGACAGTGGTTATGTTCTTATATTGTATCAACATTCTCATTCTTAACCTTCTAGTTTTTAAATTTTCATTAATTTAGCCTCTCTACCTCTTAACTTTTTCATGCTTTAGAATTACTGTTGTTCATTTGATTTCATACAGATCAGTTTCTTTTAAAAATTTGCAGTACTGAAGAGTGACTTTTTAAATATTTGAGAAAACTTACTATTTAGGCAAAAAGTGACTCCACAGAATAGTTTCTGTTCAAGGGTTAAAGAGAATCTCAGGGTAATTATCTTGGTGCTTTCTCTAGTGTCAGTGGGTGTGGAGTAACTGGATGGAGAGTTTGAAGTTTTTTCACATCCCCTCCCTCTTTTTCCATCAAGATCCAGTTATTTGTGACCTTGATCCAAACATTTGATAATGATGGCTGGATACCACCTATTTCTTCTGATGTCGAAATCAAGGAAGGAGGCTGTGTCACATGGGCACACGTGGTCCTGTAATTCTGATCTTTCTCTGATTGTTGGGCTTTGTTTGATTTTTAGTCTTGATTAGTAGAGCCCAGTAGTTGTATCTTAGATGGTTGCTCATATGCTTTTAGTACATGAGCCCCTGTTCACCAAACTATGATGTAGAAGATAAACTTTATGAGCTCCATTATGCCAATTGACGGAATTATCTTTTGAGAATAGGACTCTAACTTTATGAGCTATATTATGCTGATTGGGTTACCTGTTGAGAGTATGACCCTCAGTCTTCAAAGAAAATTAATCCCATGAATTTTATTGATTATTCCTAGCAGTATAAGGAGCTCTGGTAGTCTACTGATAAGAAGCTGAAATTTAAAGGGTAGATGATTGGAATCCACCAGCTGCTCCACAGGAGAAGGATGGACAGTCTCTTGCCATGTGATTTAATGCCTCTGAAAACCGCTAGAGGGTCAGCTATGAGTCAGTTCTGACTTGAGGGCCCACAACAAGAGGTAGTATAAATATCTGCTGTTCTTGCTTGTTATATTGCAGGTATACACCCTTTCCTTTATTCTTTTCTCTTCTGACTCTGATTATGTCTGATAAAGGAAACACATATGACTTTTATGTCTAGTCATGTAACCATGACACATGATTTTAAAACTTTAAATAGAAAAAAAACATACGACACCCAGTCTATCTTAACGTCTTCATCTATCAAATAGAAAAATTAAAAATATTAACTCTTGAAATACTAATGTAGAGAATGAAAAAGATAATGTGTAGAAAGCATTTAGCATATTCTCCTGTGCCTGGTAAATGGTCAATATCTTGAAAATTAATGGAGAAATTCTACTCTAAACACAGGGAGGTTCTACGAGTCAAGATTGACCAGATGGTAAACCACAACAAATCTCTTAAAGTAGCAGCATGTTTTTCCCAAGTCCATAAAATATATTAGTAGGATTTTCAAACTAGTATTAATAATTTTTCTTTTATAGGATTTAAGAAATACATGGGTGCTTCATAACTAGTTAAGAACTGGAGGAAAATAATTCAGAGAGCACTAATATGTGACTTTTCTCTTTGGCAGACTTTACTATACAATCAAGCATATATTGAATACATAATTAAAGTGTTCCTTTTTACTTGCTTATCAAACTTTAATAACAAGGGTGGGTTTTTTTTCCCTTAGCCAACTATTAGACAAACAAAAGTCTGACTTGACCAAAAACTTTACCTAAAATTATCCCTTATTTACAAAGAATCTAAATTACACTTTACTTAAAAAGAATTCAAATTTTCTCATAATTATTTAAAAAGATAAAAGCACCAGATGAACCATATGGGCCTATGAACTTATTCTTCTGGTTAAGCCATTATTAATAAAGCAAAAGGGAGGTCCTAGTGGTAAGAAGCTGTGCTGCAATCCCAGAGGCACACAGTTCAAGTCTGCCAACTGCTCTGTGGCAGAAGGATCTCTTCCCATGCAATTTACTACCGCTGAAAACCCATTAGACGGTCTGTTATCGGTTGGTTCTGACTCGATGGTAATCAACTACAATGAAGTGAAACCTGAATAAAAGCAATTTCTATAAACTTAGGTGAAGGAGAATGATCACTGAAATGGGAAAAATGATAGACCAAATGTCCTGCTAGAAACGTAATCTCCCTCTTAGAAAGCAGATGCAGCATGTGAATTACATTGTTGTGTTGTTATGTGCCATCAAGTTGGAACTGTCTCATAGCTAATCTTACGGCGGGTTTTCAGAAGCTGTATATTGCATAGGAGGAGAGATGGCCCGTCTGCTCATGGAGCACCTAGTGAATTCAAACCACATGCTTCTGGGTTGGCAGCACAATTTCTTACCCATTCAGCCTCCTTTCTGTTGCATAGCAAAAAAAAAAAAAAAGAACTCCTTAATGAACATGGTCAGAAAGAGTGGTGTCTCCCTCAAAGATGGTGGTTGACTGAATCACTTTGAGAATGTGTTGTTCTTCATGGTCCTGGTAATCCAGTACCCTCTCACGTGCTCCTGAAAGAGCTCACTACACCTCCTCTACATGTCACGTTCTAGCGCTTTTGACCTCTACTGACAAGAGTTGGAAGCTATTATGAAGTTTTAGGCTTTTAGTTTAATATAATTGAATAGTAAATTTAGTAGAATTAATGGAAGATGAGTCATTAAACTTAAATTACTAAAGAAAAATTGTCTCATTACAGTGTTTGATTTGTTTTAACAGTTAATAACAAAAATACACTTACTTGTTTTACCTTGAAAGTTAATGATTCTTTTAAATCATGTCCACAGTGTATTTGGGTATGAATTGAATATTTCCTTTAAAAGCCTAAAGGAAAAGACAAACTAAACATTCATATTGTTTCTTTTGTAAACTGAACTTAGTAACAGCTATATTGAAATATTTGAAAATCTCCTTATTGCTAAATTAGTTCTTGTGACAAATGAAAATATGATTGCCAAATGAAAATATATTCTGTATTTAAAATTAAATTTTGAAAATGGACATTTTTTTAATTCTCCTTTCTAAGTCTCTTTTATTCTGACAGGCCCCTATTAAAAAACAAACATAAATCATGCATTTATTTGACTGTTGTAAAGAATTAATGAAATCATTAGTTGCTGTGGCTATCACTTTTTATTAAAACCAGATACTGAGGCTTTAAGATGCAAACCAATAGGCATGAACCTTGAGGGTTTCATCTGTATACTGAATCAGATTATTTGTTTTGAAAGAACACTGCTCTCCCCTCCCCGATTTTTTAACCTAGGAAGAAATTTTCATATTGTTTTCATTTGGTCTTATCAACCTAAGTTCTGTGAGTTGGAACACAAGGTGTTTGTTTTGTTTTATGGGTAAAAATTGAAATACAGGTTTTATACTTGTTTAGGCTGCTCAGTATCAGAAGTAATGTTAGAGTTTTCTGATCATGAATGTTGGTGTTCGAACTATTAGTTCTTGGAGCTCAGCACTCAGGCCCTCTCTCCTGCCTTAAAATACTAGAATTGTGGTGCTAGTGTGTTCTAGCTGAGTTCCATAAGCCATGAGAGCCAGGTCTGAAATGTTTAGAAATTTTGCAAATTATTCGTTTCAAACCACCTTCAAGCACCTTTAGTGTGAAATCACACACAGTGGGAATATGCGTGTAGAAATGGCCAAACACACTATGAATCAGGGCATTTGTGTGCATATGTGTAGGATGGTTGCTCCAAGACTACATCACTGAACATATCCAAGTATAAATAAGAGAAAAATACAAAATGAAAACTTGGTGTGATATTAAGGGTTTATTTTCAAAATGGCTTTCTATAGAATTTGACTTTGCTATATGGATAAGTGGGAATATTTAAATAGGGTGTGTTAACTTATCTGAAAGGGTCTTGACACTACAATGAGCAAACTCGGTGACAGATTGGAGGGTCTCACCACTAGTAAAGTAGGCATGCAGTGCATGCCTTTCGGGTCTGAGACTTTTATGCTAAGTAGACTTCCAGCAGCAGCAGCAGTAGCAGAAGCAGAGGATCAGAGACCTGACGTGAGACAGAGCAGATCTTGGGACAAGCTAAGAGCCTCTTTCCCAAGTTTGTTGGAGGACTTGGAATAGAGGATAGGAAGGTGAGCAAGAGGCAGAAAACCACAAGGATTAAAGTTGAGATACCTGTGAGCACATTTTTATAGGAGTTATTGTATTAACTTCCCTAATATGGTTCTGTGCAGTCTGTGGGTTACTGTATCGGATTTTGTACCCACAGCCTTGGTACCAGCAATCAGTAAATCAGAAGAGGAATTGCACTGGAAAGAATCTGGTGTCAGGGAACTCTCCAGAGTACTGAGAAACAATAATGTCAATCTAGGGACTAAGGTGTGCTTAATTCAGGCCATGGTCTTTACAGGTGCTTGCTGTGCAACAGAGAGCTGGACAATGACTAGAGATGACAGAAAAAAATTGATTTTCTTGAGTTGTAGTGGTGAAGAATCTTAAACATACATGGAAAGCCAAGAAAACAAATAGATCTGTCTTGGAGAGGGTAAAACCAAGTTTCTCCTTGGAGGCTAGGATTTCGAAGCTGTCTCACATAGAAAGGACCAGTCCTTGAAGAAGGACATCATGCTTGGAAGGATGGAGGGACAGCGTAGGAGGTAAAACTCTGGATGAGATGGATTGATACAGTAACTTGGGTAATGGAAGTAGGTGTATTTAAGTCAGTGAGACTGGCTCAGGACTAGGCAGGCTTCAGAGCTGTTATACACAGTGTCACTATGAGTCACAGGCAACTCGACAGTACATAACAATCACAACAACCAAACAAGATTGTAAGATTGGTGTTGGGATGAGTAGAAAGAGTTATGTGAGTATGGGAGGAGGAGCTTGTCTGTCCTCATGTGAATTGTGCTTTGGGTCTTATTGATGGGGAGGTGGTAAATATCAGATATGTGGCCATTCTTATGTGGCACTTCTCATTTTGGACATGCTTTCCTTTTTATACCCAGATACAACATTGCAATGGTAATATAATGTTCTCTTATAATTTTAGTACTAATCTATTACAGAGGTCAAGTTTTATTTATAATACAAAAATTTCCTTCTAATCAGTCTATAAATGTTGACAAGACTGCCAGGGCATCGTTAATGAAATTTGAGAATTCAAAACCCTTTGCCGTTGAGTTAAGTTGGACTCATAGACCTATGTTGTTGTTGTTGTTATGTACCATTAAGTCATTTGCGACTCATAGTGACCCTATGTACAAGAGCTCTCTCTAAATGCTCTTCTATCCTGTGCCAGCCTAGCCATCTCAAACGCACTTATTCCCACCGCTCCAGTCACAGAATCGATCCATCTCATCGAAGGTCTTCTTCTCCTTCGCCGCCCCTCCACTCTCCCAAACATGATGACCCTCTCCAAGGACCAGTCCCTCCTTGCAACATGCCCAAAGTATGTCAGACGAAGCTTCAGAATCCTTGA